AACGTATATATATATATATATATATATATAAAGATGGATTTTATTTTGTACAACATATTGTGTTCAATCTGCCAATTCTACCATTATAAAGCAGACGTACCTAATACTGTTTGTGGAAATCAGTTTAACCTGAGAATACCACAGTTTTATGCATCATTGAAACTTAGAAGGATGTATTTTGTTCTCCAGAAAAACCAAGTGTGATGAGATATTTTTAAATAATAATACATTATACGCTTTTAAGTATACTACTGCTTTTATGAAATTTGGCTAATTTGTCATTATTTCCTTAATATCACAAATTGTATCCATATACATTCAACTTGATGGCAGAATTGTTAAAAATGATGAAAAAAAGCAAAAACGTACTTCTGGTGAAGATCGTACAAGAATGGGATCCAAAGATGGGAGTAAAGCTCTACTTATATTTAAAAATAGCAATCGAGTAAATCACAAAAGTTTGTATAAGCCTAATACTTTCTTGAACAGGAAAAAAACAAACAAACTGAAAATGAGCAGGAGGCAACATGACATTCTGAAAGATTTCTGAACCGAGTTATGTATATGAACACTGAGTGTTAAGTTTCTTGAATCACTTTATAGGCAGCAGAGGGACAGAAGTATTAGCTAGGTCCATATTTGCTCAATACCAAATCTGTTAGTCAGTTAGAAGAATATAAATCTACCCAGGTGATGATAAAGTAACTATGTCTAGAAGAAGTATGTCTTAGCAAGATAACCATTCTACAACCATATTGAAGGTCTTCACTACCAGCCAAGCTGAAAGAGAAAATATATACTCTTGGCTCTAAGACATAAGGTCATCACAGCCAAATACCCTCTTGACAATAAAAGAGAAAACTAAAGTCGTATCATCTGTGAGGATTTTACCATCCAACAAAATAAGGTAAAAAAAATAAATCAAAACAAATTCAGTAAACAATCCACCAATTTAAAAGATTAAATGAAACAGACTTTTCAACAAAACCAAGAAATTAATACTCAAAGTGATCTGACAAGAACTTCCCAAGGGGTCTAATTAGAAAAGGAGAAACATAGGAATACGGAGATGGCTATTGACTCAGAATGTCTGGCATAACTTTAAAACACCTCAATACTGAGGAAGGAAATAACGAATCAATGATACTGATAATAAAATATTGTCTGGATGATAATGTTAGTGTTAATGGCTAGAATTCACTAGGCTAATAAGAAGTATACTACTGCACAAAAACAGAGAGAGAGACAAAATGGTATGAGACTATTAAAATAGGTAATTATGTTAATAACAGATACGGATGGAGAATCCTAAATATTCTGACTCTCGCCTACACAAAACAAGAAACCATGTCATCTTCGGTGGCAAACACTGGCACAGCTGACTCAAAGTGGGTTCGAAGGACTCAGAAAACCCACTGCAAAATTTCAGGGGTGTAAAAATTATAAAAAATATGAACAAACAATGAGAAAAGGGATATTTGTGGTAAAAGTTTATGTGCATAACTTAAATTAATATCACATTGATTACTGGAAAATTTAACTCCAGATAAGGTTTTATTTTATATACAGGTGAAAATCGAATCAAAGAAAATTTTCCAAATATATTTATTGTTCTAAGAATTTTATCAACTTTTCCTGTTAGGGTGGCAAGTGGTGATTGTTTGTTTGTTTTTGAATTTCGCGCAAAGCTACACGAGGGCTATCTGCACTAGCCGTCCCTAATTTAGCAGTGTAAGACATGAGGGAAGACAGCTAGTCATCAACACCCACCGCCAACTCTTGGGCTACTCTTTTACCAACGAATAGTAGGATTAACCGTCACATTATAACGCTCCCACGGCTGAAAGGGCAAGCATGTTTGGTGTGATGGGGTTTCGAACCCGCGACCCTCAGATTGCGAGTCGAGCGCCCTAGCCACCTGGCCATGCCGAGCCGGCAAGTGGTGAAAGATCATTTTTGAGGCTAAAGGTAATAGAAATAATTTTGCATTCTATAATAGGACAAAAGAGATTAACTGGTCTAGCAATAATTTCTACAGAAAATTAAACTATCATAGAAATTAAAAGGGAAGGTTTTGCCACGTTAGTAGCTCATGAAGTTCCATTTTCTAAAGAGTAATCTTTGTTTTTTTTATATATGTATGTTTCTACTATGTGCCATTTTTGTATTCTATTTTCTGGGGATTTAAAAAATTATTTACAATTTTTAAGGTACAGAAAAATAAATAAAAAAATTGAAAAATGGCACAATTTTGTATTCTTGCACCCTTCAATTTCTGAACTTCGTTCGACACCAAGCACGAGTCAAAAGTTTTTCTGCCCTATAAAGAATTTTAAGGATCCACCAAGGGTATGATATGAATGCGTAAATAATGGCGAAAACTGGCTAAGTTATGCTTCAATGAAGAACAACAAAAGAGAGAGAGAGAGAGACCAGATTTTGGCAGTAGCATTTAAAGTTACTGTTCATCCAGATGAAACAAATCTAAACTCTAAAAAATTCTGTTTTAAAAATGATTTATACAAGTCCTATAATCTTTCAAAGTCATGAGATATTTCCTTGACCTCTAACCTACAATGTCAAGATCAAAACTGTCACTTTTGGATCCAAACTTGTAATAGCTAGCACAAACATTGAGCCAGAATCTCAACACGGTAATCTTTTATAAATGACAGCTGGTGAATAATATTCTATATAAAAAACAAACAGATTCTGTTAACTTACCCATTATTTTAGCTGCCGAAGATGCTCCGACAATGACTGATAAGTTCGGGGCAATGAAGGACATTCTAGATTCCACATAGTTGTAGATCTGAAGTTTGTAGTTGTTTAGCTCCATTGCCTGTATCGAAATAGAAAATCTTCAGCACATACAATCAGTGATTGATTAATCACGGAATAGCGTGAACTTGGAGTTAGTGTTTGAGTTGAAATTGGCTGACAAAATGATAATTTAAACCAGGGAATAACAAACTGCATAATCATATTTATCTGCATAAACTATTTTATGATTTTATCTCTTAGCAAACCTCAGTAACGAGGGAAACTTGTAACTCAATAAATATCTTCCTTGCCAACCAGCGTTGATTATAATACTTTAACCCCCAATGTGAATGGAATCGATGCTTTGCGCCAATCCCATTTCTGTGAAATTTCGAATTTTTTACGTATTCTTTGTTTAGTTCTGTAAAGATAACTAAAATGTAATATATGAGAAACTTAATAGTTTCGATAAGAAAACTTAAGTGAAAAATAAAAATAAAGAAACTAGTTGTGATAACACACGAGGCAATGTAAAAAGCATGATTGTAGTCAGGTTGATTCATTAAATTGTTTGTGAAATCTTTAGTAGAAATAATATATTAAAAATTCTGATTTTTTGAGTACAATGTACTTGTAATGTTTACTAAGAGCTTGCCAAATTTCATTAAGATACACCTAGCAAATTCAGAATTATATAACAAACATTGCTATATTTAACTTAGTACTTACATGTGGGCTCTTGTACTTTATCAAGTTTCTGCTCTCAAAATTGTGATGAAACTTAACCCTACTTTTTGGTAGGTTTGTTGGTAGTAGATAAATTATTTTTATTTATTTCAAGTATGCAATTTAGAATATAAAAATTTAACTGGTTTTCTAACTAAGCTATAAGTCGGTTGAAATAATTCCATTAACTGGTCAAGGTGGTCTCAGTGATAGTAAACAATGACACTAATGCTGGATAATCAAAAAACAGTTGACAGAACAAACCAGCTTTATATATATAATTCAGTAAATTATAATCTTTTTTTTTCTATTGGTTATAAATATTGGTTTGGTTTGAATCTCATGCAAAGCTACACATTGGCTATCTGTGCTCGCCGTCCCTAAGTTAGCAGTGATAGACTAGAAAGAAGGCAGGTAGTCAACACCATCCACCGTCAACTTTTGGACTACTCTTTTACCAACAATTAGTGGGATTGACTGTCACATTATAGTTCCTCCACGTTTGAAAGGGCAAACATGTTCGGTGATGGGGATTCAAACCCAAGGCCCTCAGATTGCGAGTCGAGTACTCGAACCACCAGTTATAAATAACCCAAGATCAAATGTGAAGGACAGGATGTGATAGGAGGAAGCAGCAGGAAGATTGGAGACTATACAAAATTAGACAACCTTTAGTAATATCAGTACTATAAATGTGTAATTATCTTAATCTTAGGACAACTTATAGGCTGAATAGAAAATCGAAAATGGGCAATTCAGAGCAAACAAGTGTCACATGATACAGACAAGTGAAGATTGAGAATTCAATTAAATATTTCCTTTGAAATTAAAGAAATCAAAATTCATATAATAAATCAACTACATTTTGAGTCCAAGTTTATTAATATATATTAATAATAAAATAGGTTGATTAAATTTTGAACGTAACTCTCCAAAAGTCTGTGACATGCACTTTGACCTATTCATATTAAGAGAGCTAACAGCTGTCTTTTAACCTGCATTATCTGGAAGACAAGTTACTCTGTATGTATGTTTTAACAATGTTATGGAAGCGAGTGAATGGGCTATGAATAAAAATGAAACAAATTACATTAAATTTGTTGGAGTAACGGCAGTAAAAGTAGATAAAGATGTGTCCATACATTTAGTAACAAGATATAAAACTCAATAAAGGCAGGAAAAATTTACCAAGATATTTGAAAATAAATATGTTTAAATAAAAGGCAACACTTGATAATAAAGAATAAAACATTTTTCAAGTAAGATAACAGATGTATTACTGAGTAGATTTGTATGTTGTACAAATGTATCCAAACTAAAAACTTACCATATCACAAGCTTCAAAAATAATACTGAGCTCATCTTGAGAAAGTAGATGGCTGTAATAAATACAAAAAAAAAACTCATGGAACTCAGCAAAGTAATAATAATAATATGAAGTTCATTACTTCTTTCTCAACCAGAGATGTATCACAAACATTCCGATTATTTTTCCTTTTCACAGCAGGAATACTTGACTAAAAAACATAAAACTTAATACAAACTTTCTAAATAGTGTCTAGTTTCTGCTTTAAAAGTATCACTTGGTTATTTCTATCATTTTTAGGATGCGAAATTTTCAAAATTTTGTTGCGAGATGGTGTTTAAAAAAAAACCCAATAAAAACACTTATTTTTCATCTTAGATCTTTCCTTATTGATCAGAAATGTTCTATTTATAGATCTAGAAAGATTCAACTTATTTCGTATTCATTAAAATATTTCTTTTGATACTTTATTTTGTTGATCGAAGCAGTCACAAACCATAAAAGACATGTCACAAACCAAGAAGGATTTATCAGTGACTTGGAACCTTACCATGACCATTACGTTTGGCTGGTTAGATACTGTAATTTTGTCAACAATATTATTGGTTAAGGGCAATATATATATATATATATATATATAATAAACATAGTTTGGAATTAATAAATAATTAATTATTTTATTTGTGTCTATTGTTTAGGCATGATAAGCATAAAAATAATATTCAATACAAAATTGTCTTCTGGATAGTTTGTCTTCAATTACTATACTTGTTAAACCTCACTAAACTAACCAGCTTCTGACAAGATATGATTTAACACAAAAATATTTTATATGATCAAAAGAAACTATCAAAAATCCAAGTTCTGGAATTTGTTTTAGAATCCTTCGTCCACTCCTGCAGAAACTCGGGTAGCTAATATGTCAACAAACTACAAATTACCAATAAAAATACTTTATTGACTATACATATTAATGTAGATAGACTAGACTGCCTTCTATCCAATCATTTTTTAGCCACCAGCTTTAGCTATTTTCAAAGATGAGCTTCCTAGTAATTGCTCAGACCACAAAACGTCAGTGAAAGGATCTAGTAACAGGACCGCTGACAGAAAAGAAAAATCATATCAAAAACAAGACATAAATCAATACCTTTTTAACAAATGATATTTTCACAGCAAAGATAAACTTTGGGATGGAGAGAAAAATTCGGAAAAATACTGATAAAGTAGTTGTATAAAGGCAACATTCCTCAGAGCTGTGTAGAAATGAAACTTCAAACATATTATTCCATTTACAAGTTACATTAAATAAATGTCATATAATATTAAAATATCAATTCTAAAATATTTGTGAGTAAATAAGGGTACTTATGTTCAGCAAGCTGATAAAGCCACTTTCCATTTGATCTCTACTCTTTACACATACACTAACACTGCTTGAAGCATGCCTATTTTGATTTTTTTTTTCAGGTTGTTGTCAATAAAGAATATTTTGATTTGTTGTGTGAGATACTCCCATCTAAGTTATACACAGCTACATAGATGCATTAGTTGAGTTATAAAAGTGGCATCATCGTGTCATCCAAATCTCAAATAACAGGTGAAGATACAAATATTTACTGATAATTTTAGAGTCTTAAATTATGACGCCATCACATAAGTACTCTGTGCATGAGATGAAATTCAATTTTAATGGCACATTTGAAACTATAAGAATTCTCTATCAACAAATATTACCTGCCACAAGAAAGGATAAGTTACTTTGATATTCAGCTTATTTTTCAATAATTAATTTATTGTAGAATCAGAGAGTGACACAAGAAAAAAAATAAAGGCACCAAAAAAAAAAGAATCATACATCATTCTGTGCCTATAAAACTCTGAAACTGTTTTGTTCATCTAATTACCAGAAATGGCATCACTAAGATTACTGGTTGTTAACTCATTATTAAGTAGATGTTTCAGAGAATTCAATACTTTAATCTCTGCCTATTCTGCTTATGTTTGTACTTTAATCTCTGCCTATTCTGCTTGTGTTTGTACTTTAATCTCTGCCTATTTTGCTTGTGTTTGTACTTTAATCTCTGCCTATTTTGCTTGTGTGTTTGTACTTTAATCTCTGCCTATTTTGCTTATGTTTGTACTTTAATCTCTGTCTATTCTGTTTGTGTTTGTACTTTAATCTCTGCCTATTCTGTTTGTGTTTGTACTTTAATCTCTGCCTATTCTGCTTGTGTTTGTACTTTAATCTCTGCCTATTCTGCTTATGTTTGTACTTTAATCTCTGCCTATTCTGCTTGTGTTTGTACTTTAATCTCTGGCCTATTCTGCTTATGTTTGTACTTTAATCTCTGCCTATTTTGCTTATGTTTGTACTTTAATCTCTGCCTATTTTGCTTATGTTTGTACTTTAATCTCTGCCTATTTTGCTTATGTTTGTACTTTAATCTCTGCCTATTTTGCTTGTGTTTGTACTTTAATCTCTGCCTATTTTACTCGTGTTTGTGAAATACTGCACTCATGACAATAGTCTTCACTTACCTTAACCTCACATGAGAAGTATAAAAGGTAAATACTCACCATCTACAAGCTGTGACACTATCATGGGACCAGATTGTGTTAGTTAACCTTAATCCTAATTTATAAATAACTTTGTAAATTAAAAGTCATGTTATTATCTTGTTTTACCTCTTTGAAAATATATCGCATATAACTCAACTTGTGTTGTAGAAGCTGTGAAACTATCGTGTGACCAGAACATGTTAGTTAACCTTAAAACTAAGTTATAACCAACTTTGTAAATTGATAATCATAATAATAATAATATCTTGTCTTACCCCTTTGAAAACTAAATCAAATAAAACTCACCCCTGCGTTGTAGAAGCTGTAACACTGACCACCATGATAGTTGCTGGTGTCAGTAACTGTAATAATGTCTCGTTGTTTTTTGCTTTGTCTAGATCATTGCCTAGTTCCTGGATTTAATCACAAAAGAGAGATAAAAATAACTAAAAACAAAATACAATAAAAAATTAACAACTGTTCTTTAGATGGTTAACTGAAAACTGAAGAAGTTTAATAGTCTGCCAATGCTAGTTACTGTGTTTCTAACCATGAAGATTTAGTAACTAAATTTACACAGAATAAAAAGAATTATTGGACATGTAAAGTTAATTACCTTGATGATCAAGGATTTTAAATAACTATTTTTATTTATGGTAAACTTCTTAGGTTCGTATATTAAACAAAGAGCTAATCCTTTCCGGGTCTTTACCTTAACTGTTGAAACATACTCCAAAGCACCAGGCACAAGAGATTCTAACTCCGGAAACCTCTTGGAATACTTGTCTCTAGTGAATTTATGAATAATGCCTAAAAATAAGATGAAAAAAAAAAGGAACAACAACGAACTTAGAAAAATCATTAAGCAATTTGTCCTGAAAAAGCAATCACTATTAATTTGTAAATTAGGTTCAAAAAATACAAAATTAAAAGTAATTTTCTATAAATACACCATTGGTCACTTGTTCATACATCAATTTGATAACCTTTCATTTAATCTGTTCAAATTCTGCAAATAGATTATTAAAATCTTAACCAAATCAATTACTCAAATTTTGACCTCAAAGTAGTTATCCTTTTGCAATGCTTCTTTTAAAATTCAGTTTTTTTTCTTCATCTTTTCAGTTTTAACTGTAGATATTTTAATAATCATGTCGCTGGCCATATGATATAAATACTTACTGATTTCATTGTCTATTTCAACAGCAAGGTTGTTGGCTTCAACAATCAGCTGATATTCTGGATCTGCTTCTACAGGTCCAACAACTAAAAATAAAAGCAGATACTTATAAAGTGAAAGATTTATATTCCAAAGATTTTTATTCCCAAACAATATTTAGATATCCCACAATAGATGTTATTACATTCTTTATTTTTATATATTCTGTAAATATACAACCATTAGTATACATGCTTTACTTGCATTAGCTTTTATAGATGTATTATTCCAAACTTTTAAACAACTTTATTAGAACTGTTTCTGTCAGAGTTTCGGCATTAATTTATCTTACTATGCTTAGACATCTACAGCATTCTTGAAAGACACAATGCCTAGCTAATCCTGTTAAGTATAGAGGTGTGGAATTCATAATGCCAGATGCCCAAGTAAAAACGTTTTATTGTTATACATGGCCTGTTGGACAAGTAGCCCCTCTCTCTCTGACGTCATTCATTCTATTGCTATTAAAACATCTGGAGAAGGTTTCTAAGGCAGCCATCCAAGTCCCTGAAAGTCTTGAGCTGCAGAAGTCTAGCACAAACATTTAAACATGTGTATCTCTAAACCTCAAACCAAAACTATATTCACAAATATACGTCTTTAACTCACAAACCCTCAGTGACACACAGTAATAAAGATATCTAAATTAATGCAATAATATTATTATATTGCTCTTGTATACAGTAAGAGTTTTGACTGCTCCCTCTAGGAAGAACCTACAACAAAAACCATTAAACAATTTTGTATGTATATTAAACATCATTTTAGTTTGTGGCAGCATTAATATAAACCATACTTTTCGTTATCAGTTTGTTCGTGGGATGTTCTATATGTTGTAAAATCCTAAATATTAACAACCATAAAATACATTTATCTAAAGAGCTCAGTTGCAAAACATCGTACATGCTATTCCCAGCATAATAGAGCTGCTCACTGTCATTGTATTGATTATCTTAAATGTTAAATAAAAGCAAAATATTATAAATTGAAGCTTAATTTTATGCATGTTTTGTGGGACAGGGAGGGAGACAGTGGATTTTTATGAACAAGCAGATGTTTATAGCATTTTCTCAAAATTTCCACACACCTGAACAGAACAACAGAACAAAGAAAATTTAGAGTGAATAACTAAAACCATAACAGCAATTACTATCACTGACATTCATCCTTTAAAATATCCTGAGTTTCAGCTCCAACTGAACGTCATTTAACTTTTAAATAACTAAGTAATATATGTATTCTACTTACATTGCTTCAAAATAACAATCAGTTGGACTAACACTTACAACTACAAACCATTTACAATAAACAATCACTTGGACTAATACTTACAACTACAAATCACTTAGATTAATAACAATCAGTTGGACTAACACTTACAGCTACAAACCATTTACAATAAACAATCACTTGAACTAATACTTACAACTACAAACCACTTAGATTAATAACAATCAGTTGGACTAACACTTGCAACTAAATAATCAGTTGGACTAACACTTACAACTACAAACCATCTACAATAAACAATCACTTGGACTAATACTTACAACTACAAACTGCTTGGATTAATAACAATCAGTTGGACTAACACTTGCAACTAAATAATCAGTTGGACTAACACTTACAACTACAAACCATCTACAATAAACAATCACTTGGACTAATACTTACAACTACAAACTGCTTGGATTAATAACAATCAGTTGGACTAACACTTGCAACTAACAATCAGTTGGACTAACACTTTACAACTACGAACCACTAAGATTAATAACAATCAAGTAACAATATCATTACTAAAATCATAGAAACTTTTATCTTATCTCACGTTTACCTCCTTCTTTTCTATCTGCCTGACATCTATCTTCAATTTCTTTCATTACCCTTTCCAGCTAGAAACCAAAAAAAGTCCACTGTTCTAAAAAACCGTAATCAAGCACAGTACATCGTCATCTTACACAGAGATGTTAAACTACACAATTAACAAAACAAGTAAATAGGAAGGGCTGTTTGACATAAAATTTACAAGAAATCTAGTCAAGTCTAAAAATTAAATGGTTATAAGATTATCATATTTTATACAACTATTACATTTATTAGCATGTGTAAAAGATTGCTCAATATAAAAGGTAATAAAGCCCATTGGCTTACAAATCTTTTTTCTTTCTCTTTTATATTTGAATAGTTAAATTTTCCACTTCAAGAAATAATTCTGATGTTCCCTTATTCATCCATTTTTAACCCTACTTCTATTTTTGATATTTTCAATGATTGTTAAATACTTGGAAATAAATCTTAAGTTTTTTAAAACTCTTAACTTATTATAGTATATACAAACAATAATGTTAATATTTAAAAATATTTATTGTTTATCAATATTAAATAAAAAGAGTTAGAACAAGTGTGTATATAAATATATAAGGAACTACGAATGTATTTAGAGATCCTGAAAAGGCTTCTAAAATACACACAGAAATGCAAAACTAAACTATAAAATTAATAGAAAACACAAAACCCAAAGGATGTATATAAGGAAAAAGTTTTTTTTCAGCTTTTGCCGTTCTGTATCTAAAACGGAGATTCGTGTATAGATATTAAAAACAAAAGTTCAATAACTTGCATGCTACGCATAAAATAATATGTTCAGATGACCATAAAATATATAATTTGGATATTAGTACAAACACCACGTGTGTTGTCAACTAACATTTATTCTTCTTTTGGATGTTGATCTTTCAAAAAAAACAACATGTATGATAATACACTTTTCAAAATCTACAATTCTAAGGCTTAAATTAAATCCTCCTTTTTCATTACCATTTGTTTGTAAGAGTAG